CCCGCCTCCTTCCCTTTTTCCCTCTCCCTCCCCCTTCCCCCCACTCCCTACCTCACATCATTCTTTTTTTTTCCCTAAGCATCATATAACTCTGCTGTGATAACTCCTGGCTTTAAATTAATCAATCCATATCCCCCCCCACTCACCTTACTAAGCCTACCCTTATTTTGTACAGGCCTATATCATTTTCCTGCTCTTTCTGCCTTGGACTCTGGACTCTTTTTTGTCCTTTTCTTGTTCTCTGAGCCAGCACTTGCAGTGTACATGTTTGCATTATATCTCAAACTGTTCCCGTGTCACAGTGTTTCCAAATCTTGATTCTTAAAAAGCCAACCTATTTCCTTATGAATATTTTAAAGCTCCCTGCACATATAATTCTATAAAATTTAAAGAAATCTTTGTGTGTAAGGTTTCCTGTCACCCAAATTCTGTTACTTGGTGCCATTTTCTCCAAATAGGTAATAATTAAATTGGCTTAGTATATTGGATGCTTTTGACCATTTGTAAACAAACATAAAATTAGTTATTTATAAATCCAGCATAAAGATTTGTGCTCTAGCAAAACCAAATGACATGCAGTTATATCTCCAAGACTTTGTGTGGAATTTTTTCTTTTCACTGAACTATGATATATTTTCCACCCTTGGTTTCTCTTTCTCAACATGTAATCTAAAATATATATCCTTCTGTGAAAACATACTTCATCCAAGTCTTACCACCTAGATTAAAAATGCTGTACGTGTTGCTGGGAGGATGACTGCTTATCGTGGTTTGCCCAGCACCACTGGAGGACCTCGAGGAGGACGTTCATTCAGTAGGGAGGGGCAGGTCACCTAACCTTGGATTGCATTGCCCATACTTCTTTATCATTTAGTTCTTTGCTAAAAAATATCTATATTGATATTTGTCATTTCTAGTAAACTACAAACTTCTGAAGTTCAGGGATCATAAATTCATCTTATATTCCTGTCAGATACATCATGAGCCACATATGTGGTACAAAGTAAATGTTCATTGGTTGAATGAGTCAAATGAGCACAAAATGCTAAGTTATTTAAAACTATGAAGTTCTTATCTATGTAACTTTTTATCTTTCTAACCTTGTTTTATGTGCTTCATTTCTAGTAGGACTTTACATACAGACATACACTTTGTCAAATTCTAAAACTCTTGAATGTAAAATGATCTTACACATGTGTATTATGGTCTTCCTGTATATAGATCAAAGCTCTATTTTAGTTTACTGCAGAAATGTGCCATCCAGTTTGCAGCCTAGCTAGTTGAAAAATTTTCTCTAGAAGATCTGTTTATTGTTCTTTTGACAGATTATTTATTTTCTCAAAATTTCCAAAGGACTTGGATTTCCTTTCTGCACACTAATTGGTTACTATGTCTCATTAGTTCTATTTGATAACTAGATATTATGTTCATTTGTCTTCTCCTGCCTCATAGCTCTACTTAGGATTTCCTGTCACCTGAACCAGGGAAATTTTCTGCCCCTTGTCTGTTGCTATCATTGGCTATTGTAGGGATAGCAGATCAATTCTAAAACTCACAAATTACACATTTGGTAAAAATTTAGGACAGTAGTGGAATAGTACCCATAGTGGTGTTATCACCGTTGCTCAGTGCCAGAGCACATACCTAACATGCCCAAGGCCCTGGGTTCAAACCTCAACACTGTGTAAGAAAAATTAAGAGCTTTCAAGTCTAAACTAATACCATGATTTTAAAAATGATGACCCCAAGTTGTCCTTCTATTCCTATTTATTACCCCTCTTCCTCCTCCACTTTGGTGTGTAGTAACATGTACCACCTGCTACTCAGAATGCCTTTGTTAGACTGGCAGGATCTTTCTCCTACCTCAAGGCTGTGCAGAGGTCAGCTTCTGTGGGAAACCTCTCCTGACTCCACCAAGCAAAGTCAGGACATGGAGTTTTTAATTCCACGTCATTGTGCTCATACCCTATCCCATCAGACTGGAATTATATTGATACCCATTGACAGTCCAGCAGTAAGGATGGACTAACTAAGCTTTTCAGACCATACCAATGTGTTTCATTTTTTTTAATGGCAAAATTTGTGTTGTGTGAAATTGCATGGTTAATTTGGGGCCAGACATGGTGGCTCATGTCTGTAGTCCTAGCTCTTGGGAGGCTGAGGCAGGAGGATTGCTCTGAGTTCAAGGCCAGCCTAAATTACATAGTGAAATTCTGTCCAAACAAAAAAATTATGGTTAACCAAAGGACAAGTAAATAAAATTTAACAATTAGTGGTGATTGAAATTTGAAGTAACAGTGAATATATTTCAGTAATATTGTAAAGGGAGAATTATTCAAGAAATGGTTTCCCAGTGCTGACTTTAGATAATATTAGCAATAAAATGCAAATTTTAACAGTATCATACACAAAAAATTGGCCAAAAATTTTAATCTTCAGTTTCTGCTTTATTTAGTACAGCTTCCAGGTTCTGTAGCTTTACTCTGAAGCATACATACTATTTCTTGTCAAAATTTTAGGTGTAAATACTACTAATGACATTAGTAGTCAATTTTGTATTACTCATACCTTTGTTTTTATTTTCATAGCATTGTGGGGTTCAACATCATTTTAGGGAAATAACTAGTTTTAAACTCAGAATTTGAGTCATTTGCTTGTTTTCACATTGTGAAAGGACAAAGCCAATAGATTCAATATTTGAATCTTTGAGGTTTTTTTTCTTTTAATTTTTATTCATTTATTTGGTGCACGGTTTCAGTATTCAGCTTAGACTCAATGATCCCCCTGTCTTAGCCTCCCCATTCTGGGATTACAGGTGTGTTCCACCATGCCCAGTTTCAGTGGCTGGCTCAGCATGCTCTGGGCTCTGGGCTAGCAAGGCATGTGGTACTGGGGATCAAATTTGAGACCTTGTGCTTGCCAGGCAGGTGCTGAACTATCTCCCTAGAACCTGGATCTTCTGTTTTTTAAATCATCCCCTTAGCGTGCTCTGCTTCTTAGTGATTGCAAAAGGGATGAAAAACAAAACATGCAGACTTATAGATCAGAGAGGGCAGATGATCATATTGCCAACCTGGATGGTCAGAAAGTGTAGTAGAGCGTCTTCAAAGCCTCCAGTCATTCTTTGGATTTTTTGTTCCTCTATTGTGGTAAAACACACAACTTAAAATTATTTTGACAATTTCTGGCCCAGTAATAAGTACATTCACTCTGCTGTGTAAACCACCACTGTTATTCATCTGCAGAACTCTTTCATTTTTCTAACGCTGTACACCAACTCCCTGTCTTTCCCTTCCTCTAGACCCTGACAGTCACTATTTTACTTTGCACTCCCGTGAATTTGACTCCGCTAGGTAGCTTCTCTGTGTGGTAGCATGCAATACTTCTCCTTTGTGTCTGGCATATTTCACTTAACACAGTGTCTTCATGCTTTATCCTGGTTTTCATACATGTTAGAATATCATTTTTTTTTAAAGGGTGAATAGCCTTCCATTGTATCTATGTTCCACATTTTGTTTTTCTACTCAGAATGGACAGTTGGGTTGTTTCTACTTTTTTGCCTGTTATATAAGTTGTGCAACTGTGTATGTGGGTATACAAATCTTATATACCTGTATATCTTGAGGATCTGGTTTCATGTTGGGGGAGTATGTACTCAGAAGTAGACCTGCTAGATAATGTGGTATTTTCACTTTTCTTAGAAAGTAGAATCAAAGATGAATTGTGTTAAAATGGCCTTATGTGTATTTATGGAAACTTGAGAGCCCAAACATCTAAAAAAATATAACTATTGTATAGAGAAATAAGATGTGAATTGTTAATAAAATAGACTCCTATAGCTACTGAAATCTTCAGAGTACCATTAATAGCAGTTGGAAATTATTTACTATGCAATGTTGCATCAAAATTAAATCCCCAAGTGTCAGTCAAATTTCATTATAAGCAAAGAATAATTGTAAATGAATTTAAGTTTTCATATTTATGGATTGTCACCCATAAACATATGAAAAGAAGCATGGCAAAGTTATCTTGTGGAACCTTGAAGGGTTTTCTCTTATTTATACTTCTTTGTATTTCTTATTTTCTAAAATGTTCATATATGATTCTAAAAAATGTTATAAAATTATTTTCAAAGCTTAGTATATACCCAATAAAGAGAACCAGATGGAATTGAAAGAAGAAAGCTTTCTAGGAACCTAACAGGAAATTATATCTGAGAACAAATAATTGAATCCCCTTCCTTGGAAGAAGTTAAAGTCAGATTAAAATACTGAGGTTAATATGTTAAGGCTATGGTATTGTAAGTTGTGATAGTCACTTCCCGCATTACTGCGACAAAATACTTGACACCCGAAACTTGCAGAAGAAAAGATTTATTTTGTTTCAATTGGGAGAGATTTCAGTCCAGAGTCAAGTGGCTCAAAGGCAGGAATGCTTGGCACAGGGGTGCAGTGGAAGACCAGCTGCTCATGGTGTGCTGGACAGGAAGAAGGTTGGGTGAGGCAGGGAGGGAGACTTAGCCTCTGGGGGTCACGCCCCAGTGCCCCACCCCTTCTGGCCAGACCCCACCTTCTAACAGCTCTCAACTGAGCATCCCTATGATCCAGTCAGCTCCCTAAAGCCCTGCCTGTGAACACATGAGGCACCGGGGGGCATCCAGATGTAAACCATAATCAGTCTGATGTTTAGTGTTAGTTACATGCACATATTAAAGTCGGAAGTTGTTTAATTGCCCACAACTACCATTATCAAAGAGTTCTGTTCTCTCCTGCTTCCCAGCTGTAGTGTGTGAAGAGTCAGAAACTGTTCACTTGCCCTCCCGAATTTTAGAACTAGAGTCTAGATTAGCTAGACAAAGACTCTTTCTAAAACGTTTTGGGCTTAAGAGCAACTGAAAACTGAGTGACATTTTTCTCAGTGCCCTTCAATGAGATCAGTCCTGTATCATTTGCTTACATCCAGTTGCCCATGCAGTGTCTGAAGTATTCCTTTATTTGTATTTAAGTTATTCTTCATTTGATTATACATTAAAAAGTACAATTAGAACCATCAGATCAAAAGTGATGAAATGATTATATCTGAAGTATGATTTATTTCTAGATAATTACATGACTTTATCTCGTTTGATTGATCTTCTAAGAAGATGTGGAAAATTTGACGACGTCCCAAGACTTTTCGTAATGGCTGAGAAACGTAACTCCAGAGCAAAAGTAGAGCCAGGATTTCAGTACTGTAAAGGACTATATCTTTGGTAAACCTATTGACAAATAAATCCTACATAGTAATTTTTTTCATTGTAGATAAAGGAGAACAAGCTTTTCTTTGTAATCAAAAATATATATACCTTTCAATATGTTGATAGTTTTGTTCTCCAAACAGCATCGTAACCTAGTATAAATCTTATAAAAAAAGATTGAAATGATTTTTTTTAAATGTCTAACAAGGTACACTGGAGAACCAAATGAAGCCCTTCGACATTTTAATAAAGCTCGGAAAGACAGCGAATGGGGCCAAAATGCCCTTTATAATATGATAGAAATCTGTTTAAATCCAGACAATGAAACTATTGGAGGTGAAGTGTTTGAAAACCTGGAAGGAGACCTGGGGTGAGTAGTCTGATACATTATTCTTGGGCACATTATTTAACAGTTGTTGGGGACAATAAACAGGAATATTTTATAAAAGATAACTATGTTCTAGTATAGCATTAATGAAGGGTTGAATGACAGTAGCTAACATCAAAATAACAATTTTCTGAAATAGGCACGAAATACTTTTAGGAGGTTTCCTAAGTCAGAAGAGACATACTATAAAGACATTGTCCTAATTCTACTATAGAAAATGAAACTAGTTGATGAGTGTGGTAAAAATTCTCCACACAACAGTGGTAGTACTTAAATAGTAGTTTTATATATGCCAACTCTGGGCTGTATACTTTATTTGTACTATCTTATTTATTTCTTAAAACACTAGTATAAAATAAGCCCAGAGTCAGCTTGCCTGCGACAAGTCAACATAGAGCAAGATTTGGGCTACTTGCTCCTGGCCTCAAGCCTTTGCTGTTTTTTGCTGTGCTCTTCTGTGCTAAGTGATTTCCATCAAGCTGTATTTGATGCATGTGCTGTCCCGAGAGTTAGGCAGGGCTTGGTGAAGAATATATAAGGATGTGCAGGGAAAATACAGTCTTTTCTGCCTTCAGGACCATGTAGTTTACTTAACCATTCAATCTCCAACACAGCAGACATGGACTACAATGGATATTAAGTATCGGAGGAGTTCTTCGAAATTGTAGTAGTGCATGCTCATGAAGGGAAGATGCTTAGAGAAGTGGTATAAAACTAACATCCTGCTGAGTAGTTGAAATGGCAAATTTTAAGGCTTAGATTTATAAAGAACACTGAAATTTTAGAAAAAGAAAATGGTATTTATTTTAACATTTGTTTTAAGAAGCATACTGTTACAGAATTATTGTTTACCAAAGTAGAGATCATTAACAAATAACGGAAAGAGAAAACTAGAACTCAGAGAGATGGGCCTACTGGCTGTGCAGAGGCAGGAGACCTATGCAAAGTAGAAAGTCACAACTGTGGGCTGGAGAGATGGCTCAGTGGTCTAAAGCACCTACTTGAAACAAGCTTGGCAAAGCACAGGGACCATGGTTCGATCCCCAGCACCACATGCCAGCCAGCCCCGCCCCCTGGTGGGCTGAGCTGGCCACACACACACACACAATAAATAAATGTAATAAATATAAATAAATAAATATTTAAAAAAAAAAAAAAGTCACAACTGTGAATGCCTCCTTGCAAGGTGGTGTAGTATCAGAGCTCTGAAAACTAAATTGTGGGCTTGCTTTCATTTAAGAGGCCTCAAGGAGAGGAGGTTAGGAATGGGCAGTCTGTGAGGTGGACAGAGAAACAAAGCTACAGTGTGTCAGAAGACAGAGGAACTTTGAAGAAGGTTGACACCAGTATAGAGTATTAGGTAAGATAAAGAAAGGGCCGGTGAGATAGCTCAGTGGACTAAGCACCTGCTTTGGCAAGCGCAAGGACCGGGGTTTAGTCCCTCGGAACCATAGGCTACACACTGGCTGTGCCCCAGGTACGCTGAACTGACTGCCAAGACTGGGCATGGTGGCGCCTGCCGGTAATCCCAGCGCTGGGGAGGCTGAAAACAGGAAGAGCACTACAAGTCCGGGCTGCATGGTGAGACCCTGTACCAAGTACATAAATGAAAAAAAAAAGTGTTAGGCAAGATATATAGGGGAAGGCCCAAGGAAAGGATGAATGACTTTAGTGATTGGACTTTGAGAGTTTAATTTCCTTTCTTAATTGAATATTTACAGTATCTATATATGGCATATTAGAGTTAAGAATTTTGCTATCAAATATTCAGATTGATATTGTACTCAAATTTTATAACATTTTAACACATGAAATTTCTTTTTTGATAGACAACGTGGTAAGGAAAATGGAGATTTTATATACTATAAGTGATAAACTTAGGTTCACATCCTCAAATTACCTTTTATTATCTGTATAATCTGACCAATCACTTCACCTGTTTGAACTTCTATTTTCTTTCTTTTTTTTTTTTTTCCCAGAACCGGGGATTGAACTCAGGCCCTTGCGCTTGCCAGGGAAGCGCTTATTCCACTGAGCCATCTCCCCAGCACTTTGAGCTTCTATTTTCTTAAATGTAAAATTAACTTTGCATACATTGAATGAAATCATGAAGTGCTTGGCTTTTTCTCTGTCCTTCTTCCATTTCACCTTCTAAATTGACAATATCATTTACTAGTTATGTAATTTTGTTTTATCCTAGTTTTGCATTAGCTTAACTGAACACATTTACCATATGCACGTTTGGCTTATTGTTGTTTTTATTCTAAAGTGAGTTACAGTTTAATGGTGTCTTACTGATATGTATATTTCATTGAAAAACTGGATTATAATTGCGTAACACTTGTTACTAGAAGAGAATGAGTGACATTTTCCACAAAGGATTGCTTTTAAATAAGTGATAAATAGAAGCCAGTATATGCCAAGCTCTGATTCTAATTTCAATGAATTTTATCAGTAATGGGTATAAGTAATTGATTTTTAATTGCACACAGTAATTCAACTGAAAAGCAAGAGTCTGTGCAGTTAGCAGTGAGAACTGCAGAAAAACTCCTTAAAGAACTAAAGCCTCAGACTATTCAGGGTCACGTACAGCTTCGCATAATGGAAAACTATTGCTTAATGGCTACCAAACAGAAACCTAATGTTGAGCAAGCATTAAATACCTTCACCGAAGTAGCAAAATCTGAGGTTAGTACTTCTGTTTTCAGCTTTGTATATTATCTTTCCTTGGTAATATAGAAATATGCCATTAGATTACTGTATTTCATGAAGATTGGCATACTTATTTTGTAAAAATTATATGTACAGTCTGGCGTAATTGTACACAATATACTTTTCTTTCCTGAAGAGATGCTGTTATTTTGTTAGTGATGTCATTATCTTTACAAGAGTGTTGAATTCTGGAGAATTTCTGTGTTCTAGATGTAGCCTAGATCAACTTCCTAAGTTAAAACAAACACCCATTGTCTGTGATCTAACCTTTTCACCATATTCTTAGAATTTTTTCAACTCTTGGGCTAAATGAAATAAATGCTGACAATTTACAGTTCCATCATGCAAATGGTAGTTTTGCTTTCACAACACTGAAACAACATCCTGCAAGCCTTTTATTAGTACTGCTTTACATACTATTCTTTGAAGACCAAAGATTTTTTCCTGTTTAGCCCCACTCAGAACTATGTTCTTTCCTTCTGTCTGTCTGTCTGAGTGTTCTAGATCTCCTTTACTCACACAGGACTAAGGGTATTACCCAACTGGCAATTGGTAAGGCTATTCATTAGCATTCATGATTGTTCTTGTACTCAGCAGTGCTAGGCTGTTGAAAACTTCCTTTAGAGGCTATACAGAAATTCACAGTTTTCTTCTGGTTCAGAGGTTATAGTCACAGCAACAAATTGCCAGAGGCCCCCTGCAGTGTTCAAATTGAGATACTAGCATTTGGGCAACTACATCGCTTGTCCTAGTTTGGTACCATTTATCTTAGATGGCAGATAATTATTCCCATCCTCAGCCACCCTTGGGACACACAGCAAAGTAGCATCTGCAGCACCCTAGAGCAGAGCCCTTGTGGAGACTTTGAAATGCGGTCCCAAGGATTGGGCTTTGTTGGAGTAGCCTTGAGCAACAGATACGTGATAATTGCTGAGCGAAGGGAAATCATGTCAGCCTAAGAAAAGTCTGTGAGCATACGATGCAGCACAGTTTCAGGTAAGGTGCTGTGACTGCTGCAAGCTGTAAGTAGTATTCTGCAGCAATGAATTTGATATGATTAAATCTCATATTTTTTCTTCAGTGTTTAAAAAGAAGAGCCAAAAGCAATGATTGATATTGTAACAGTTTCCTAGAAAGTCTGTGCCAGTTTTTAGGTTGATGAGACTGCATTATTTTCATCATCTTGTATATACAGTTATTAACATCATTCTCAAATTTATTTGTTGACCATATTATCAAATTGATTGTCAAAATGATGGGTGAGTTGAAATTTGATACAGTTTGTATTTTATCTCATATTTTTCTTTTCACCTACAGGCTACATGTACTCACTATAGTGACTGTTCAGTAAGTAGCGAGTGCTAAGCACAGTGACAATCACAAATAAAGCAGTATAAATTCAGACAGAAGTGCTGCCATAGTTAGTAGGAGGAGGATGGAGAGCTCTTTTGTGAAGCAAAATTATTTTAAAAACTACAAATAAATTACATTTTCATAGGTAGAAATGAGCAGTGTCTTCAAAGTGAAGAAAAAGGTAAACAAAAGCAGAGATGCAAAAAAGCCTGAGGCATATTCGCGGCCTTGTCATTTAGAAGTCTGTGGCAGGAAGTCAGAGAGGAAATGGTGGAGACTTCAGCAGCCTAAGCAGAACTCTGCCCTCTTGCTTTACCTTGAAGTGTAAAGGGGACTAGTCATATGGCGCTCTCTTCTCTACTCCTGCGTTTTGTCCTCCCGGGTGACTGGCAGTGAGAGAAGCTGGCTGAAGGTGCTGTGGAAGAATACTTGCCTGGCATGCTTGGTGCCCCAGGACCCATCCCCGGAAGAGCAGAAACAAAAAACAAAACAAACTTGTGGTCATTGCAGAGATGAGAACTCAGTTTCTAGTTTTAGAAACTTACTTGGTTCACTTAAGCGTGATCAAGTAACGAAGAACCAATTCTAATCAAACACAAGCTGTTTTAGTTTTACCATCAGAGTCTTCCTTTCAGTATGTAATGTGAGATGTTTTTGTGCATGTGACTTCCATAGGCCCCTTCTCTTCTTAGGCCATCTTATGACTGACAGACAAATGCACAACAAGCCTACATTTTCTGCATTGTCCTATCCCACCTAAGATGGGCTGAAGCTTAATAATTTATAATATTCCTCAAATCTTCACAATCTATTTTCAGTTGGTTGCGTTTGGGACTCCCAACTGTTTTGCCACTCTTTATCTTGGAAAAAAGTTACATATTGAGAGTTTATTGACAGACATAAAATGAAAGCCAAATTTTACATTCCTATTGTTTTTATCCAACACTAATGAATCCCATGTCTCTTCCATAGTTATTTGTCTTCTAACCATAATCGGTGTTGCACATTGAACATTTTATCACTACCCTGCTTTTTCAATAGTCATTACTATTAGTTACCCAAATTAATAATCAGGAAACCTTTATTATCATTATGATTTGTAATTAGTATCTGAAGCTGAGACTTTCCTTTTATTAAAAGTATCATCCCTCTGCCAGATTTCAGAGTTTAAATTTGTAGTTTAAACTATGGTTTCAAGCGCAAGGGCCTGAGTTCGATCCCCGGTTCCGCCCAAAAATAAATAATAAACTATAGTCAGCAGTATTATTGCTTATATAAATTAGTTTTCTGAAAGACTGCTGATAACTTCCATTTTATACCAATTCTAATTAACCTGTTTCACAGAATGCTGTTTTCTGACTTCCAATTCTATAAAATATTGTGTTTCCAAGACCCTGTGAAGAAGCTGTACATCTGGAGTGTATTTTAAGGCATGTGATTTCTAGATGACTGATTGTGCACTTTATGTATAACATTTAAGTGGTCCCCCTTTATTGTGAGAAAAGGTTCTTTGGTAAAATAAGAAGGATGAAAACTGAGCAATCAATATCAATTGGTGATGCACATCTACAGTCCCAGCATCCCAGGAGGGGGGCTGAGGCAGGAGGATCACAAGTTCAAGCCCAGCCTGGACAACTTAAAGATGTAGCAAGACCACTTCAAAATTTAAAAATAAAGTACAAAATGGCTGGGGATACAGCTCAGTGCAAAACTCCTGGTTTTAAATCCCCATTACCACAAAAATAAATCAAATTGACTGCCATTTGTGGGAAATTTTTCTAGTCCTATTCCTTTTTGGCAGGTGAACAACTAAGGAACTAAAACACTAACTCTGAAATAAAACTACCTATACTGAAGTGGGATTTTTTTCTGTTTCTATAGAAATAATGTAGCTAGGCAATCCCACTACAGATCAAGTCACCCACATTGTTGGGATTTTGTGGTTGTGAGATCTGCATAGTTACGGAATTACCACACAGGATCTGGGCAAGTTTCTTCATGATAGCTTGAGATTATTCGTTGTGTTTAAAGGTAATTGGAGTCAGTGTTACCTGAGATGGAGCCAGAAATAGAACCACAGACTGATTCTTATGTACTGTGTGCTGCTTTCCATGTTTTTCTTTTAAATAGAGGATATTTATTTCATGTATCTACTGATCTAAAGTTCTGTTTTCTTACAGAATGATCATATCCCAGCACTCTTGGGAATGGCAACAGCTTATATGATCTTGAAACAGACACCAAAAGCTAGAAATCAGCTGAAACGAATTGCAAAAATGAACTGGAATCCCATTGATGCCGAGGAGTTTGAGAAGAGTTGGCTTCTGCTTGCTGATATTTATATTCAGTCAGCAAAATATGACATGGCAGAAGACCTATTAAGACAGTGCCTGCGTCATAATAGAGTAGGTGATTGAAGAGTGAAAAGTAATTGTTAACACTAGCTACATAGACTTTCTATAGTAGGACATTATAGTGTGCTGGTCCATTTCCAGTGATTCTTGAGTGTTTTTTTTTTTTTTTTAATATTAAATGTACCTTTTACAAGAAGCAGAAAATAATAATAGTAAAAAAGAAGTGATTTGCCCTTGAAAAGAAAGATTTATGCATTTTCAAGTTTCAGCTGTGCTGATGCCCTTCTTACAGAAAATGTTGCTTGAGTGTCAAGCACTTGCCTGTGATTACCCGTCTCATCCCAGAACTAATGAAAATTGCAGCACAATAATTTCGAGTGTCTGTCCCTCCTATTAAGAATACGCTTGATGAATTTACTGCAGCTGTATGTCATGTCCTCATTATTAGGATCCCTAGGCATAATATATTTCATGGGGGAAAGTCTCATTAGCTTTTAACTTCATTTAATAAAAATTCTTATGTTTAGATAGAAGATAGGAAGAAATCTTCAAGTCCATAGAATATTTGCCTTTTTACTAATGTTTTGGTGTTTAGTCACACAAAGTTTGTTATTACTTGCTGAGAAATAATTGTACTTAGGAAAGTATTTTCACAAATTTATAGCAATTCAAAATTTTACTTATAGTAAAAGTTCTATTTTTTCAGCAAATCAGATTATGAAATGTACCATTTGTTGTACTATTTTCTAGTACTATTTGTAGTACTATTTGTGTACTTTCTTAGGACTTAAACTAAAACATCCAGCCATTTATCAGTCCATAGACTATTCTAAATGATCAGCTACATCCATTTTAAATTGGCCTTCAAAACAAAAGATACTCATTAACAGGCTTTGAAAATTTAATAGTCAAACATTCTGTGTCTAATGTAGAATTGAGGAAGATTTCATAAGTTAAGGTTTTGCTGCAGGTACAGTTTCAGTGTGCTGGAACGCTGACAGCAATGCCTTGCATAATTGGACAGGATGACTACTTCAGAGACTATTTAGCCCTGCTGGTTGGGCACATCAGTATTGGGGGCATGAGCTTCAGGAACTAAAGAGCTTACACATCTTGGGTTGTACCATCTTAAAAAATGGAAATCATCCAGTTTAATCAGGAAATGCCCAAGATGACACTAGATCATCTTGTCACGCCAGATGTCAGGGGAGGCATTAGGTATCAGAGTAGTGCCAAGGACTAAGGAGCCAGGCTGAAGACACTCCCAGGAGCCAGTTAGGGCACACTTAAGTACCAGTGGGGATGGGAACTGCAGTCGGCTGAAATGCATCAAATATATTTAACCCACAGCTTTACGAAAATAAGAGAAACTTAATTGGTTACCACTGCAGTATGCTAATGAACTACTTATTTCTAAAGCTGACCATAAAATGAAAGCAACATCTTTTCTGTATAAACTATACTATTGGATAATCAGGAAATAAGGAGAGATTTTTCATTGTATACATTTTTGAGACAGTAAATGAAACCTGGTAAGAATCTTTTTTCAAACCTGGTGAAGTTTTAAATGGCTGTAATATTACAAAAGGGCTAAGGTATAGTGGAGCCTGCCTGAATCAAAGTAGAAAATCTGCATCTCTATATTTTATATGTATATTCTTAATGTCATGCTTTTAATGAAAATATTGATAAAACTTATTTTAAAGAAAAG